CCAGGTTTTCAATGGTGGTCTAGCTTCAACTGATTCATGATTTCAACCTGTGAAAATTTCTAAAAACTCTCCATAAAACCCATTCTGATAATAATCAACTGCTCATTAGTGACTGACTTCAAGAAAAACTCCTGGAGTTCTAGTGAGAAGCCGTTACCAGTGGAGTTCAACCGGTCTGTTGTGAGATAACAACTCACTGAAGACAATGGTGTACGGTAGCGCAACTTCGTGGATTGGTTGAAGTTAGACATTAACACCGTTGGATGCCGGCTCAGTGGTCTAGTGGTTAAGTGCTCGCGCGCGAAGCCAGTAGGTCCTGGGTTCGAGCCAATCAAATTTATTTATTAACCGAACATTTATAATGAAATGTTATTGATTATTATTACTGAAGATGTCATTTATAATTAGTCGTCGGTGGAAAACCAAAACAGTTTTCTCCTACAATCTTTTTATCTTCTTTCCATCGCGATAGAAGTATCCCTTTCCTGAAATAATAAGTAGTAGGTAGTAGTTATTTGTTTAATCATAGTAAACAGTTGAACTAGTAACACGAATCAGCATTTAGTTCAAGTCATCACATTGATAGATCCATTTTATTTCAAGTCATGACTGTGATATCAACCATGAAACACAAGTTAGAACTTCCTTATCCATTTCAAACAATTAACAAAAAAATGAAGCACGATCCATCATCAGTTATTATCCATTCGAAAAATTAATATTGAAATAAATTTCATAAATCTGCATTGAGTTTATATTTAATATGTAGTACACTCAGTTACTTACTAAATACAATGGTAGACAGTCACGAAATATCGTGGATTGGTTAAAGTTAAACACTAACATCGTTGGATGCTGGCTCAATAATCTAGAGGTTAAGAGTTCGCGTACGACAGAGAATGTCTTAGATTCAAGTCACAATTGAGCGATTGTGGATGCTCACTGCTCATCCGTCTCATACTAAAACGAAACAATCGTCCATTGCTTCCAGGTTTTCAATGGTGGTCAACTCATTACTATAAATAACCCAAGGCAAGCTTCCAGGTTTTCAATGGTGGTCAACTCATTACTATAAATAACCCAAGGCAACTATCGTTTAAATATTGTGAAGTGATTTTACCTTATCACTATATAGAATAGAATGACGTGATAGATGTTTTCAGTTATCCGGGCTTCGGACCGGCAGTAGCCCCAATGGGGCTCTAGGAGGAGTTTTAAATAACATTAACCAATCGAATTGTGTTTCATCTTAAGTGAATATAATAATGTATAAATCAATTTTGTAATTAATTGAACACAATGATGGATTTTACATAAATACCATTATGTGATATAAATTTTAAAACAAACTTTTATAGTAAATCTATATTCATTATAGATTGATCTCATTTGAGGTACTCCTGATAACGAAGGTTCATTGAACAACTATTTTGTCCAGCCGTAATATGACTGTAGAACAAGTCATAAACATTTTCCCTCAAAGTGGGGTTACTATTACTGAAAGTTCACTGAAATTAAAAAACATGAATTATTCGATCTATAAATCATTAAATCAATGGTATTATCCTTACTACAAGACTTAACTATTACGGGAACAACCTCATGTAAAGAAATGGAAATGACATTTAGCACTATTCTTAGTTTTTGTTTTTATCAATAAATATGAAATTATTAACAGAAGAGAGAGTTTTATGGATATTATAGTCATTTCAAAAGTTAAGATCATGAGTCCATCGAAGCTAGACCACCATGAAAAACCTGAAGGCATTGGACGGCAATTTCGTCTTGTTATGGGAATCCTCAGAAGTGGTCTAGTGGTTAAGCTCTCGCGTACGAGACCGATAGGTCCTTGGTTAGAATTCTGCAGGGCGGGATCGTGGATGCGTACTGTTGAGGAGACCCATTACTTACTTACTTACGCCAGTTACTCCTAATGGAGCATAGGCCGCCGACCAGCATTCTCCAACCCACTCTGTCCTGGGCCTTCTTTTCTAGTTCCATCCAATTCTTGTTCATTTTTCTCTTATCTATTTCCATTTCTCGGCGTAATGTGTTCTTTGGTCTTCCTCTTTACCTTTGGTCTTGAGGACTCCATGTGAGGGCTTGCCTCGCGACACAGTTGGGTGCTTTCCTCAATGTGTGTCCTATCCACTTCCAGCGCTTCTTCCTGATTTCTTCCTCCGCTGGGATCTGGTTTGTTCTCGCCCACAATAGGTTGTTGCTAATAGTGTCCGGCCAACGGATCCGGAATATTTTGCGTAGACAACTGATGCTCCGCTTCACTTGTTTGTTTACTTCTGTGTATTCAGCTTGTGCCTTGGCTTTTTCTGCTCTTGTTCGACTGGTATTGATTGCTGCTTTCTTGTTCCTCCTTTCTTGAATCTTATCCAATGTATCAACAGTGATCCATTCCTTGTGATGGTGCTTCTTGTGGCCCAGGACCTCATGACATGTTGAAGTGATTGCCTCTTTGATCCCCTTCCAGCTGCTCTCTTATGAGTAGATCATGAAAGGCCTGGAACTTATTGCTGAGGACTATCTTGAATTTGTTGAGTTTGTTAGTATCCTGGAGAAAGGCCGTATTGAACTTCTGTGATGTTGTCCGCCCCGTTGTGCAGTGCTTCTTGAGTTTCAATTTCATCTTGGCGACCAGCAAGTGATCTGATGGTATATCAGCTCCTCTCTTGGTTCTCACGTCCTCTATAGTCCTCCTGAACGTTTTGTTGATGCAAATATGGTCGATTTGGTTTTGCGTGGTGTGATCCGGTGAAGTCCATGGTAGGACGAAATGGCCGTCCAGTGCTTCCAGGTTTTTCATGGTGGTCCAGCTTCAATTGACTCATGATCTCAACTATTAAATATGAAATTATTAATAGTGGGGGCTAGTAAAGATTGTTCAGTTTTATAGATTACATCACTAACTGACCTTAGTTATGATGGTAGTCACAAATTAATTTTCTTCAGTCTACAAACATATCTATCACAATACTCACTTCCTAGTAGTTATATATCGTTTATCTTTAGCCTAAAATGATTATCATGTTTATGTAATTCATAAGTAATACTATATTCCTGATTTTCTCTTCCCTAGATAACACCAACACTACTTTCTCTATCTACTACATATTTCTCTATTTTCAACAACAGGACATTTCATTGCCTAAAAGGGAAAACTACCTGGTTTTAAAACGTATCACTTTTTAAGTTTCTGTTTATCTCTGCTCAAAGGGACACTTACACTCACTCTTTTCTGTAATATTTTGGTCAATATGACAAAATATAGTTTCACCATGGTGGAAGACAAAGTAAACTTTAAAATTTACACAACCGGTTTAGTTATGAGTATGATAAAATAGACCAGACTGTAGTTAATGAAACTTACATAACTCCATCTGTCTGTCTATCTATCTATTTATTTATCAACTATTTGTGTGTCTGTCTATCTATCCGTTTCTCTCTGAGTATATATACATATATACTCGCAACTGATTATGATTACACTCAAACTAATCTATCGATCGATCGATCGACTAGATAAATGATGATCTCCCAGAAACTGACGATAATCATAAATTCCTTATAATTGAAACTTGATATTGACTGAATAGTAACTATCATATTATTGGTAAAGTACTTTATCTGTTCCCATCTCTAAGATTCGATCTACATTATCTAGATATCCATTCAAATATTACAATAGATCTAATGAGCAATAAAACAAAATAGCATCATTATTTCATCATCTTCTTTCTAATTGGTTCATATTTTCCTAATTGGGAAAAAAGACACACAGTTATGTAAATGAATAAAAATTATCATAGTTGAATTCAAGAGTCAATTGAAGCTAGACCATCAATGAAAACCTGGATGCATTGGACAACCGTTTCGTTATAGTATAGGACCGATGAGCAGTGTGCATACATGATCCATTACGTGGGACTCGAACCCAGGACCTTCACTCTCTTGCGCTAGAGCGCGTGTGTCGTGTTGAGACAGTTATCTACCTCAAAAAATGAGCGAAGGGTTGAGCAAGATCATGGATCGATTGAAGTTAGACATTAACACTATTGCATGAGGCTCAGTGATCTAGAGGTTAAGAGTTACGTGCGAGACCGAAGGTCTTGAGTTCGAGTCACACGTGGATGCGCACTGTTCACCAGTCCCATACTAGAACGAAACAGTCGTCCAGTGCATCCAGGGTTTCAACGGTGGACTAGGTTAGATTGACTCGTAGATTCAGCTGTGAAAATACCACGGCTACGCTACACGGAACTTGGTCATATCAGATAACTAAGGATAACTCTAGTAACAATTGAGATTTTGTGAGTACATATATATATCAAAAATAAAATGACAAGGAAGTCTTTGCAAACGTTTCAACTTTGAAGATAGTTTACGGTTAAGATAAATATTAAAACCAAGCAATGCTAGATAGTCGTTTCGTCTTATCGTAAGATTCATCAGAAGTATGTATACTGATAAGTTTACCAAAGGATTAAACAATCTCTACTTACTGTTAGGAGAAAGTTAGGGGCGGCCAAACCAAAACGTGGCATCAGTGCTTGAAATCACTAACTTCTGGTCTGAGCCATCTTGGGAGATGCAGACTACTCGGTTGGGGTCCGCGTGACTATCGTAACCAATGGTTGGAGACTCTTGGTGACATGGCTCAGAATCGATCACACTGGAGTCGGTGTATACACTCTCTGTCTTCCCTTAAACTAAGAGATTAAGATCGCTCCATATCTTTCTTTCTACGAACTAATTCTTTCTTCGTGTACTATATCCTTATTGCAATCTTTCTTTTATATATTACCACCTCTGAATTAACTACTTTTATGAATCCGGTGTCCATCTTGTTGTGTTAATGAGGTATGGCAACTTGGAACGATGCATATATGTGCCTGGTCCTACGTTCTAGCTGACTGACTGACTGACTTACCGCTTAAACTAATCATAACATTAATTATAATTTCTTTTTACTTTCTTTTTTTTTACAGAAATCAATACAAATTTCACTACAATCCCATTAGTTCATGTTACACCTGAATGTTCATTATTGGATGCATCAAAAATGTTATTACAATATCGTTTTCATCGTTTACCTATTATTGATACATTACATGGCAATGCATTACATATTTTAACCCATAAACGAATATTAAAGTATTTGCATTTAAATGTTAGTACTATTTTGTAGAATAATAATAAAAATTGTTTACTATCAAGTATGAGATTTGGAAGATTGTTAATTATAAAACCAACTTAATTTGAACCATTATTGAAAGTCTGAAAGCAATGGACATGCATTTTGTCCCAATGTGTGACTACTCCTCGGAAGTAGAAATCCGTGTTCTTACAACTGGTAACCGAATCCAGGACTTGAGGTTTCGCCAGAGAACGCTTAATCTCTAAACCAATGAGCTGAGGTCAAATGGTTTACAAGTTCAACTCTAATCAGTGCACGATATTGGTTGTCTGAATTAGATTGATAAGTAATTTCAATGAAATTCAACAATTCCAACAACCCCATACTGACAATTATCACGTCCTCATTTGTGACTGGGAAAGTTCTGAAGTCTTAGTGAGAGGCCGTGATCAGATGATCTCAGACATGTCAAGTGTGAAAAAGGTATTCACCAATGACTATAGAAGATGGTCGCTCAATATCGTGGGGTAGTTTAAATTAGACATTAACACCATTGGATCCCAGCTTGGTGGTCTATAGGTTAAGCATTCGAGCGCGAGACCGAAGGCCAAGGGTTTAATCCCTAGCAGTGGTGTCATGGATTTGCATTACTGATGAAACAGCTGTCCACTTCTTCCTAGTTTTCAACAGTTGTTTAAATTAGGGTCAGTCCGTAACTATGAGATCCAATCATTCTTTATTTTCATGTAAAAACTGAACTTTATTTTATCTCATATTTCTTATTCTTTAAAAAATCTCTTTCATTGTATTGACGACAATTAAAGTGCCATAAATGCTTACTGAGTAGAACTTTGAATAATTTTTGCTTATTGTAAAAGGTTTTCGTGGAAATCTGTTCCTAACTTATTGTAAATACTAAAATTCCCGTGAGAGCGGAAAATTCTCTGAGTTCAATCCTTAGACGAGGTCGTTCAGTTGTTACTGTTGAATAGACTCAACTAGCAAAGAATGAATAACTATCGAACTATATTTAGCTTCAAAAATGGTACATCTCTCTTGACCAGTATCAATTCATGATGAAAATCATTGTCTACTTAATCTGCTCTTTAGTTTACACCTTGATGTTTACCATTTTCATTTATGTTTGCTTTTCTATATAATTCCTTTTTTTTTTCTTATTTTTCACAGAGGCATAATTTACCTCCAGCCAAATTTATATCTAAAAGTTTACATGAACTTAAACTAGGCACTTATATACCAAATGTTCAAACAATTACAAATAATACAACAATTATAGAAGCTTTAAAACTATTTCTGAAAAATCAAGTATCATGTCTACCAGTTGTCAATGATGAAGATGGTCAACTTATTGAAATTTATGCAAAATTTGATGTGATTGTAAGTTTATTTTAAGTTTTGTTTGAATAATTACTGGACAACTTTGATCTTTAACACTAATTATGATGAAATATAAACCCTTACAGATAAATTCATATTTGAATGGGGATTTATGGAGATTGTACTAAATTTAATAGTTGAATTCATGAGTCAATTAAAGCTAGACCATCAATGAAAACCTGGATGCACTAGAAAACCGTTTCATTTTAGTATGAGACTGGTGAGCAGTGCGCATCTACGATCCATTAGGTGGGACTCGAACCCAAAAACTCTGATCTCGTGCGCAAGAGCGCGTGTGTTGGGTGGAGACAGTTATCGACCTCAGACAATGGATGAAGGGTTCAGCAAGATCATGGATCGATTGAAGTTAGACATTAACACTGTTGGATTGTGGTTCAGTAGTCTAGAGGTTAAGAGTTTACGTGCATGACCAAAAATCCTGGATTCCAGTCACTCATCAGAGATCGTGGGTGCTCACTCTTAAGGAGTCCCAAACGAGTGACTCATATTTCACTTTTCGACTTCGTTGACCAAATAGTTTTCGAAAACGTAGCTTTGAATAGTTATACTACTAACTAACCATATTAAGTAGTTAACCTCAACTTTAGAAAAATATTCCGGCAAGAAAACGATTTGTGTAAAATAAGTGTAGCCTGTAACTAATCATGAAAATTGACAGAGTTAACACTTAATTAACAATCAATCTACTCTCCTTAATATTTAAATTGAATATCAGTATTGTTCATGAAATATTAATTAAATAGATAAATAGATTGACAAACATAAGAGCGTTATTCTTCTACTTTGTTACTACAAGTTATGAGGAATAATTAGCATATTTAATAGTTCAATACTGTTGAATTTCAGAACAATATTCTGTTTGATCAAGCAAATAAATTGACTATTCTATGATTTAATATAGATTTTCAGGTAATAAGTGTGTATGTTGCATTTAACCTAATAAGTTTTCGTGAAATTGAGATAGTTACTGAAAGATTTCCACGTTTAATTCTCCTACTTACCGAGTTGAACAAACGGAACTAGTCGTATCATTACTCTATTGATTGGATTTCAAGTCATTCCTGTTACATATTGGTTTAATTTAGTTTGTAGTATCGGTTACTATGTTAAGCCCATATAACTTGTTCCAGTTTCTGGACAGGTCAATTTATCCATTCTTCTTGTATCATGTTTTGAGCTTGTTAATTATTCACTTATTAACCTTGACTGTTTCTATGTGGGCTCATGTGTATGTACACTTCTTATCCTATTCATCACATGTCAGTAGCTTATTTCTATGTGCCTATAAATATTGATTAAGGCTTGGTTAAGTCTTCACTGGACGTCATTTCACTTCGCTCTCTTCTCTCCGCTTCCTTCGCTTCGTCTCTCTGATCATCTGTTCCGATCAATAATAGTTGTCTAAATATACGTCCTGACTATACTTGTATATAATCATCGACTTAACTCGCGTTAGTGTATCACGGAATTAAAACAAGTCAAGTACGAGGATGCATTTCGAATACGTATAATTTGTACAATCGCTAATCGGAACAAACAAGCAGAAAGACGTAGCGAAGGAGAGCGAAACAAAATGGCGCGCAAAGAAGTCACGTAATTCAACTCGATTTAATCAAGCGTTAATCAATGTTTATATTCACACAAAAATAAGCTACAGACATGTGATGAATAGGATAAGAAGTGTACACACATATACACTCATATAAGACAGTCAAGGTTGATAAGTGAATAATTAACAAGGTCAAAACGTGACTCAAGAAGAATGGATAAATTGGACTGTGCAGAAGCTAAAATAAGTTATGTTGGCTTAACATAATAACTGACACTACAAGCTCTCACCAACTGATAATATATTTGAAAATAGTGAATCGTAATGGACCGATATTTCGAAAGATCCTCTGTGCCTAATACCAATTTGGAATTTTCTGTAATTTGAAGTCGGACTCGCATTTCGGTAGCGAAAAACGACTAACTAAACCATCAACCTATGATTATTTTCAACTACACTGGATAAACAAATCCAACCATTAGTATATCTTGGATCCCGCTGGACAGTGCTAAATGCACAGTTACAAATTAGAATCCTAAATTTTATTGGATCTGCTGTTTTTCTTAAGGTTTAGTGTCTGTTACTTGGTCAGTTACACGCCCGACCAGCACTGTGGACCTTGGAATGTCAGTCTGGTTCCTATAAGTCTACTATCCGCAAAACCCTTTCTATGCCTAGCCTCAAGTCCAAAAGTCATTAACCAGCCTCTACTACATTTGTATTTCAACAGATGTAGTTTTTAAACAGACATAACGGACTACATGACACCATAAATGAAAACTAATAATCATTCGTGTAAAGCAAAAAGTGGCTGGTTATAAGTAGGAGAGACTGTGAATAGTAGACTGGCAAAAAAATAAGAATAGTTGAGTTCATGTGTCAATTGAAGCTAGACCATCATGGAATACCTGGAAGCACTGGACGGCGGTTTCGTTCTAGTATGGGACTCCTCAATAGTGCTCACCCACGATCTCGGTCGCAGGATTCGAACCTAGGATCTTCGGTGGCTGCGCACTACTAACCGGTCCCATACTAAGACGAAACGACCGTTCAGTACTTCCAGGTTTTCCATAGTGGTCTAGCTTTAATTGACTCATGAACTCAACTAATAGATTACTGCAATCTCCACAAACACCCTCTTCTAAGAATAAGAATAATCAATCGTTTGACAGTAGTTTATGAGTTGACTTACAACAAACAGAACATATATACACAGTAATCTATATACTTAGTAATTATACAACAAAATTATAATTAATTATAATCCGGAAAAACCAGATCCAACTTATGCACTATTTGTTGCGTTATCATAGTCATCATACACTAATGCAAAATAGAAAAGAAAATAAACAACGACAGTTACCGGAAAATTTGAAGGACTCACTTGAAAGTATTACCTGTACAAACATAGATATTTTTTATAGGCCAATAGTAATAACATACAATGTGTTAAGTAAATGATGATGACACCATCATTTAGTGATATTCGTTAGCAACAACGATCAGAAAATAACTGGAAACTAAGAAGTACAGAACAGATGTTTCGTTGTAACAAAGGATCATTCCCTTAGTAACATAATACCCATGAACCCACATAAGAAAGAGTTCAAAAATCTTAGTGATAAAATATTGACTAAATTGAAAGTAACATTTAGAGGTTTTAGTCCAATTGATAGAATTCTTTTCTACTCAAGATTTTGAATCATAGTGCTACATGATCTGAATAATTTTATTTATCTATTTATTGTGTCATTGAATCAATTGACAGTCAGTCAGTCAACTACAACGTAGGACTAGGCACATATATGCATCGGTCCAAGTTGCCATACCGCATTAGCACAACAAGATGGACACCGGATTCATAAAAGTAGTTAATCCAGTGGTGGTAATATATAAAAGAAAGATCGTGTATAAGGATATAGTACAGGAAGAAAGAATTAGTTCGTAGAAAGAAAGATATGAGGCGATTTTAATCTCTTAGTTTAAGGGAAGACAGAGTGTATACACCGACGCCATTGTGATCGATTCTGAGCCATGTCACCAAGAGTCTCCAAACATTGGTTACGATAGTCACGCGGACCCCAACCGAGTAGTCTGCATCTCCCAAGATGGCTCAGATCAGAATTTAGTGATTTCAAGCACTGATGCCACGTTTTGGTTTGGCCACCCCTATCAATTGACACTAACTGTTTGATCCTTTTTTTCATCATAATTTAAGGTTGGTTAAAAATGTATAAAATGATTTTTACTCCTGATAAAGGATAATGTTTTCTGTTTACTGGCCAAATTTTATTCTTTGATATTCCTAAAGATCAGTGAAACATGATGTGCTACTACTAATTCATGCTAAGGTGCATATTACTTATGTTTACAGATATAAGTAGTATGTAATATCAGTCGAAAGTGGAATGTCTGTCAGTAGAAGGTTAAGAAGATTGAAATGAAAAGAAAAGGATACTGAAAGCAATCAAGATAACAACAGAAATGAAAGAATAATCAAGCTTCTAAGAGACTATTCAAAGAAGATGTGCAAATGATGTATGGCTTTGATATTCTATTAAACCACTGTGTAATTGTCCATTAAACAATAAATTGGTCTTCCCCCTTTGAATGAATTCGTTCACCACAATACAATTCAAATCTTGCATTTAGTAAAACACTATTAGGTCAATTAGTTCGAATACTAAATGAATTCTATTCTTAAATGTTTAATTTTAGAATTTGGCCATTACACGATCATATAACAATTTGAATGTTTGTGTATATGATGCACTTGAATTTCGTAGATTAAATCGAGATGTAAGTTTATTATTAATTAAAGTTATATGATTTTTGATTGAGATCATGAATCGATTGATGTTAGATCACCAATGAAAGCCTGAAAGCAGTGGACGACCGTTTCGTCCTATTGTGGGTCTTTTCAAACAGTGCATATCCACGATCCCTCTCGCGGGATCAATGATAGTTTAACATCAATCGGTTCATGATCTCAATCAAAAACTTAATAATCTTCACAAACTCATAGTAATATATATGATTTATAATGGAGATTTTCATCCATATTTTAAAGTTACTTCCATTATAGACTCAAATTGACCAGAGGAAAAATATATCAGAAATTATATATCACTAAATGGGCGTTTTGTTAGTAGATTTTTGTGACTCTTCAAAGGAACAGGCCAATGACTTGACACAAGAATGAACCTGTGTTAATCAGGTTTGATATAGCTTTATCCTTATCTAGAATATTTATATAATATCCATGAGTTTATTAATTGGAAATCATTCTTATTATCCATTGAAAAAGGTTAACGATGTTTTCCTGTTGATGAATATTATAAATAACACAATCAATTCTGATCATCAATCTATATTGTTAACAACTGAATTGTAGGTGATTTAATGTTAAATTTATTAACTCTACATGTTAAGTGATTGAAGGCAAGTGTTGAGAACCCCTCTATGGTTAAGATTTCGTGGTAGTTGACACTCATCAGTGGGGTCTATCAATCATCTTGATGGAGTTGATACTTTGATCAATACTGTGTACTCTAGCAGTTAGGATTCGTGGCTCTCAGGCAGGTGGTTCGGTGTTCGATTCACGGCGCGGCACAGTTTAACCCCCAAATGCCCTGGTACGTTCAAGAGTGAGGAGAGTCAGTTCTCTCTCCCTCTATCTAAAAATTCTCTCACATGTCCACGTGCATACAACCACTAACTATGAAGTCTTATTCACTGCCTTCTCGCGGTATTTCTGTTGTTTACGAAATTGAGAGGACGAAAAGCGAATGTCCGGCGCATTAAGCGGGCCGGTGGACGCGGAGAGTCCATCTAGGGGAGTTGAAAAACCCTCATTCCAAACCACTGGTGCACATGCGTTTCAGTATCCTGAGAGAAGAAATGACATATGAACCAATCGTTCGTCATCGGCTACCATGGGACTGCATCTCCTTTCGATGCTTCACTGTCTTGTGAGTCAGAACTTTAGGTTGAAGACCTCGGGTTTGGCCCACCAGGGAAACTATCTATTTCGATTTAGGCCCCTGGACAGTATCCCAGCTTTCACATAAATCGAATAATCTATGTGGCGTTTATCTATTTGATGCCTCCTTGTACCAATGTTTATGTGTTTAAATAAATAAATAAATAAACTCGAAAAAACGTTCAATAATAAATTAAACCAGATATTTCAACAGTTGAGATCATGAGTCAATTGAAGCTAGACCACCATGGAAAACCTGGAAGCACGGGATGGCCGTTTAGTCCTATTGTGGAACTCCCCAGCAGTGAGCATCCTAGACCCCGCCTCGCGGGATTCGAACCCAGGACCTATCAGTTGACTCATGATCTCAAACTATTGAAATTACTACAATCTCTACAAAACCCCTTCTGATACTAAACCAGATATCTTAATTTTAAAATTGCTTTATTACGACTGCAAAAGCTCAATAGTTATATTTTTGACTATGCTATTTACTGATATTGACTTGAATTACACAAGGAGCTTCATTCTTTTTCAAGATTATAAATATACCCGAGTTGAGAACTCTCAACTAACATAAAGTATAGATCAATATCTGAAATTATTATCAAGTGTATACAATTAACTAACATTATAGAAAATATCAAATTACTTAGATTGATGATTAGATTGTAGTTTGATGAAGGGAATTTTGTTAGCATTAAAAAAAACCAAGAAAAATACTATTACGTAACCGATCAAATAAACTTATGAAACCTTCAATACATTTGATTATTGTTATGTTCGTTAAACTTGAATGCTACTACTGATTCGTCTTATTCGGAACGGAACGAAGAATCAAGGATTCATTGACTCGATAGGCTATACTGGTCTGTTGTCTCCGACTCAGCTAACTCGTTCCAGAAGTTTTGGTAAGATGTAGAAAGTGTATTCTACAGACAACCAGAAGATACCCAGGTCCATCAAACACACAAATCAAGCGTATTTTTATATAAAAATTATATAATCGATATTGACATGAAAGTTGTTTTAAACACTTCATCGATAAATTCGTCAATCGACTATGTGAGTGGGTGGTAAGAAATGCCCAAGCATACCTTTGCATACAAGTTCCACAAAGATAAAATTACACAATATGAGTCTTTGGGGATCTAACGTCCCCCAACAATTATTTCATATAATTCATTAAATATTACAGTTGTTGTTTTTTTTTCTTTTTAATCTTTTACAATGTATGATTACAGCGTTATCCAACTCCGTTGACATGTTTAAAAACGGATAGTTTACAAGATGTTATGGTGAAAATTGTTGAATCCGATGTAAGTAACCAATTAATTATATTGATTAGTTATTTAAGTTTATTTAATAAAAGAAAATTGATTTGCTATGTAACAATAACTATCCGTATTCCAATGTTCAATATAATTGTAATAACTAACATTTTTAAAGATCATTTCATTCATTTAGTGTGTTACGACTATACATAAGAGTGTAATATTCATTGGAGATTTCATTTCAATCATCTAAAACGATCTGCATAAGTCTTCCATGAACATAAAACTGTAGTGTTATACTATCTTGTTGAGTTGAAAACAAAAACAAATACTCAGATAAGGGTTTTGTGAATATTATAGTAATTTTTAATAGTTGAATTCATGAGTTAATTGAAGTTAAACTACCATAGAAAACCTGGAAGTACTAGGCGGTCGTTTTAATCCTAGTATGGGACTCACTGAAGACAAATGCCCTGGTACGCTCGAGAGTGGGGAGAGTCCGCTCTCCCTCGAAAAATGCTCTCACATGGCCACGCGTATACAGCCCCTGGCACGGAAGTCCTACTCACTACCTTCTCGCACCACGGGTGTTCTTTACGAAATTGAGAGGACAAAAGGCGAACGTCCGGCGCTTTAACCGGGTTGGTGGATATGGGCTCCAGTATCCTGAAGGAACAAATGGCGTATGAACCAATTGTTGGTCACCTGCTACCATAGGACTGCATCTCCTTACGTTGCTCCACTGCCTTGTGTATCAGACCTTCAGGTCGAAGTCTCTGGGTGTGGCCCCCTAAGAAAACCACCTACTTCGGTTTGGTCACCCGGGCAGTATCACATCCCTCACACATATCAAATGAGGTCTGTGTGGCACATATGTATTTGGTGCTTCCTTGTACCAATATCTATGTGTTAAAATAAATAAATAAAATACTGAAGACAATGGTGAACGGTGGTGCAATTTCGTGGATTGGTTGAAGTTTGACATTAACACCGTTGGATGCCGATTCAATGGTCTAGAGGTTAATGCTCGCGCGCGAGACTGATAGATCCTGGGTTTGAGTTTTGCGAGGCGGGATCGTGGATACATACTGTTCAGGAGTCCCACACTAAAACGAAATGGCCGTCCAGTGATTCCAGGTTTTCCATGGTGATCTAGCTTCAATTGACTCATGATTTCTACTATTAAAAAACAAAGAAATTAACAATCAGAGTTTGGAATAAAATTCTCAGCGAGAGAATTATGATTTCATATGTAAGATCGACTTATTAACTGAACGGAGCAGTGTTAAGTGTTGCATACATATTGACTACTGAGTAGCAAGTACAGAGACATATATTCTTTCCCAAGTCACATCTGTTATATTCCCCTTATCTACACAATCCAGATTCTGAGGTATATCAAAGATATGACAGTACTTGCATTTTCTTCACGAAGAGTTTGAAGAAAGTAACATTCGACTTTAATAGTTATATCCCAATTTATCACAGAGTATCGTCTCAGAATGATTATTTCTACCTCTTCCCCATGAAAGTGAAAATCATGAGATTGTTTAGTGTTCTTCCTTATTCCTGTCATTTGAGAAATGATATTTAAGAAATCTTCTTTACTGGTGGCTACTTGGGCTGTAGGAATTCAAAGTATAGGAATATAATATCATCAGTTAGTTGGTATTACGAGGAATATTGGAGGTTTTTAACTAGCGGTATTCAAAAACAGCCCTGAATTTACCACTTTACTTAGTCCGTCTTGGATGTCACCGGTGAATATGGATGTTATGAAGAAGCAGTATATGTATGCATATAACAAATTATAAATATCACTATAGTATTATTTTTTATATAAGTGTACAATTACGAAGTAGTCTAATATTATTCAGTTAAAGTGGTTTGAAACATACACTTACCATGTAAATAGCCGATATTCACTTCAACATACGATTGTAACTTGAGACGTCAACAAAAGAAAAATAGACCTCGTTTTATCTAACTCAAACGATACACCAATCTATATCTCACTTTATTTTGAAATGAACTTTATAGAGATTTGAAAGATTCACGAAAAATTCTTATAAAACTAAACACACACTGATGTTAAGTATTAGTGTAGTGAACGAGAACCATACAGTAAATAATTCATTTGCAAAATGTTCATCAATTGTCTCAGACTTTATGATTCATTTATTTCCATATGAATCACTTTCTGTAGTCATTCTGTTCTCTTTGATCTTCTCAACCTTCTGCCGGCAGGCATTCCACTATCGATTGGTGATACATACTACTTATATCAGTCGACATTAGTAGCACACACCACACTAGGACTATTAGTCAGTGTCCATTTACCTTTGATACCGATATTTCAAGAAAATAATAACTCCCACCTGTTAACAATTAAATCATAAAGAAAGAGTGAAAATTACGATTTTGATAATAAAAAGCAGTTAGCTGATATTGTAATCCTAAATTATTGTATGTTCGTGTGTGTATATATGTCTTCATGCGTCAACTGAACGGCTACAAATATATGAGGGGGATAGTATATGTGTCCGTGAATTTGCAGCTCATCAGTTTCTCAGTGTCCAATGTATGTCAAGTATCAGGCATTCTCTAGTAATTCGCCATCCAACTAGTAGCTATATGTTGCATATGATGAAAGCATATTTCTCTCTATGCGAATCTCATTCCAAACTCTAATTATCCATGTTTTTTGTGTTCAATTCAACAAGATGGGATTCATTACAGTGGCATGTCCATGGAAGACTTATGTAGATCGTTTTAGATGATTGAAATGAAATCTCTAATGAAAATTACACTTTTATGTATAGTAGTAACACACTAGATGAACGAAATGATGTTCGAAAATGTTAGATATTGCAATTATATTGAACATTGGAATACAGATGGTTGTCCTCACACGTATGAAATGGCAAGGATTTAGCTACTAGTTATTTTTTTATTGTTATTTTAACACATAGATATTGGTATATGTGCGCCACACAAATCTCATTTGATACGTGTGAGGGCTGTGATACTGCCCGGGTGCCCAAACCGAAGCAGGTGGTTTTCTTTGGGGCCACCCCCGGAGCATTCGACATGAAGGTCTGATCCACAAGGCAGTGGAGCATCGTAAGGAGATGCAATCCCATGGTAGCCGGTGACCAACAATTGGTTCATACACCATTTGTTCCCGCAGGATACTGGAGCCCATGTGCACCATTGATTTGGTTTGGGATCCGGTTAAAGCGCCAGACATTCGCTTTTCGTCCTCTCATTTTCGTAAACAACACTGTGGCCACGAGAAGGCAGTGAATAGGACTTCCCTTGCAGAGGCCGTATACGCGTGGCCGTGTGAGAGTATTTCGAGAGGGAGGGCGAACCCACCCCACTATCGGCCGTACCAGGGCATTTGGGGGTTAACAGTAACTTCCAAGTATATATCAACAGATAGGTGTAGGACTACCTGGTTGGGATCCGCGAGATGTTAGCAACCCATGGTTAGAGACCTTGAGTGACATTGGCTCGAAATCGCTTGTAATGACACAGGTGCATCTACTCTTTGTGTTCTCCAAAATTCTAATCTTCTGAATTCTTCATGTCTCTTTTCTAATGTGGTATGGCAACTCGGAATGATGTACGTAGGTATGAAGTTCTATGTTGTTACTGACTGACTGATATATTAATAGTGTGAGTAAGGGTGAATAGCCCGTTGGAAATGTAAACAGCATATAATCAAATAATATGTATATTGACAGATTTTCTTAGTTCGTATCCCTCAACATACAAATATAATAGAGAATCTGTATTGTTTTCTTTTATTATGTACTTCGTATCTACACCTATCGGATAATAACTAATCAGACAAGATCAATATTTTAACTTGACATCATATAAACCATTAAAAAAACATAACTATGAACCCCGGTAGGGGAAGATGTATTTATCTGTAGTTGACATCTGTTCTACCATGATAACAATCAAATATTTGACGTGCAAATATACATATACACAAGTAAATCTATATCTTGAGATCTAACATTTCCCTCTATTGATTCAATATACATATGTATATAAATATTATAATAGTTGAGTTGAAAGAAAACACATCGAGCTGACTATATACTACTAATATTGTGTCGGGAAGGTAGTAATGAGACAGGTTGGGGGATGTATTCAATATTCAATCTTGGTTGGAATATTTTCAGTTAGTGAAATTGTTTACCATTGGAATGATCACTAAGTTGTAACTGACATCAATATTTGTGTAATTCTTCAATTTTACGACTTTTTACTGACTACTTCTAACTATCTAACATGAAAAAAAAACAGGGCTCTCAATAATTGAGTCAATTAGATTAGTGAATGAATTTCAATTTAATTGATAGGATTTCATCACTAGTAAGGAACTGACAAACAATATATTGGTCACTATTCAGAGACTAATCAGTAATAAATGTCTGTTCTATGAGAGATCAGTCGCAGCCTGAATAGCTCCGTGATAATGTCTCAGATTTCGAAAATGGATGACACAAGTTTGAGATACACAGAAAGCGTTAATTCTAGATACACTTTGCTAACGAGTATCAACTGACAGGAAAAACAGGTTTAGAGTATCATCCTGGCTACTTCCGACTATCCTAAACAATAAGTTGTTTTCGACAAAATCATGTTCTTACTAAGATTATACAATGAAGTAAATGATATACCGATATCCAAATTACAATTCAAAAGGTTGATCTTATCAATATATTTTTCCATCATAGCTTTAGGCATCTCATATATTGCTCTCTTTATAATACAACGAAATAGTTTGGCTACATACAATGCTTTCTAAATAAGTTTCCAAACTCAACTTAGCTAACAATTTCCACTGTTAGATTTCATGGTAAATCATGTCCTACTTTGGGTATTTTTGCTGGGGGATGGGTGATACGCATAATATGAGATTTTATAAATGTCATTTAAGACAACACAAGGTGATTGCTTCCATTCCTTAATTTCCACAGCAACCATATGCATAATAGGATTTCCAGCAGAACTTATCGATTTCCCATAAAAACGACTTATTTTTAAGTAAATAGGACAAAGGATTACTTAACTAGGAAACAGGTATTATAATTACCCTATTGTATCTCTTACCGACGTCATGGTGTAATAGAAATAAACATTTTTAGAACTCTTATATCTAGAAGCTTGGATCCCGGGTTCGAGTCCTGCGTGCGTAGTTGTGAACGCACAGTGCCGAGGAGTCCGTTATTAGGACGAAACGGTCATCCAGTGCTTCCAAATTTCCACTGTTGGTGTAACTTAGATTCATCATATATAGAGTAATATTAAAATTAAGTTTCCCACATTCTTTATTTCATAAATATAATATTTTTTAGACCATCATCATTAAATCCCTTGTGATATATATTCGTCGAACTTTATTCTCTTATTCTATATTCCATTATCACAATTGATTATCACTGAGTGATGATCAATGTTATGTGTGTTAAATCCTTCTTTAATACAGATCGAATCCTATCGACGAATTTGCAATGTGACCACTAGTCTAGGTGATTCGACATTGCATGCACTATATATTGAGATAAGATGGTGGTTGGAGGTAGTCATCAGGAAACCCTGTTGACCCGGGTTTCGTGCTACTTGACACTTGTCAGCAAGGTGTACCTGTAATCTTGAAGGAACTAGTGCTCCCTGACGGATTCGATCCCGTGTCACTCAGCTTTACAATCAGAGCCGTTACCACTGAGCTATGTGGGCCGCAACTAACCTCCTGTAGGACTGAGATATAATCACAATTAATTGATCACTGGGTGATGAACAATGTCATATGCGTTAAGCCCTTCTTTAGTGCAAATCGAATCCTATCGACCAATTTGCAATGTGACCACTAATCTAGATGAGTCGACATTGGCATGCACTATATATTGAGATTTAGATGGTAGTTGGAGGTAGTCAACAGGAAACCCGGGTCCAGGGTGCCCGCAGTGTCGAGTCACCTAGACTGGTGGCCACATTGCAACATGATCGATAGCATTCGATCTGCACTAATAAGGACTAGACGAGCATGAGATTGATCACCACCCAGTGATCAATCAATTGTGATTCCATCTCAGTCCTACAGGAGTTTAGTCACGGCTCGGATAGCTCAGTGGTAACATCTCTGACTGTGAAGCTGGGTGACACGAGATCGAATCCGCCAGGGAGCACCAGTTCCCTCAAGATTACAGGTACACCTTGCTGACGAGTGCCAAGTAGCACGAAACCCGGGTCCAGGCATTCCTGTTGACTACCTCCAACCACCATCTAAATCTCAATACATAGTGCCCGCAGTGTCGAGTCATCTAGACTGGTGGCCACATTGCAGCATGGTTGATAGCATTTGATCTGCACTAAATAAGGACTAGACACGCATGAGATTGATCACCACCCAGTGATCAATCAATTGTGATTGGAAATAGTTTGATTTACTGTGAAAATCTTTCTCGAATTATTTTCATTGTAAATAAATATAGTTGTGTGTTATCAATAAACATAAACATAAACATACATGAATAAAATAAACAAAGAAACTGGTAGACAGATTGTTTGTTTTTGTTGTTTATTTACCTCATGTCACGTAAACAATAAACAATTGACTCATTCTAATAGAAATCAAGATTAATATTTTCAAATTACAAGATTGATGATGATCTTTGATAAATTTGTTTTCAAATTTTTGTAAAATAAACGGATTAGTTCACTTGGTATTATTTGGCTTGTATCTTCCCATTGAGGTTTAACACTGCAATTGATCAGTCTGTTATTGGCATATGTGCATACTGTGCGTATACCTCGATATTGCCTTATTTCACCCCACTGCATAAGCAAGTGGTTATCAGGACTCAGTAACTGCTTAGTGGATAACATGATGGCGTTTGAAGCGAATGGTACCGGGTTCGAGTCCCAGAGTGAACATCAACTCTGAGATGCAGGTACATCCAGCTGACGAGTCCCAAATAGGACGGAACGTGTATCCTGGATTCCACTGCTAGCCACTAACCATCATTGCTCACAAAAACGGATTAGTGTTAGGATAACCGTTTTCTTTTTCCAATGTTCAATATAATATCTAACATTATCGAACAAGATTTCGTTCATTTAGTGTGTTACTACTATACATAAGGGTGTAATTTTTATTAGATTTCATTTCAATCATCTAAAGTGATCTGCATAAGTCTTTTATGAATATGCCACTGCAATGAATCTCATTGAATTGAAAATAAAAAAACATGGACATTATAAGCAAAGATGAATAGTGGCTAGTAGTGGAATCTAGTTTGATGCACGTTTTGTCCTATTTGAGACTTGTCAGTTGGATGTATCTGCATCTTAGAGTTGATGTTCAATCTGGGACTCGAACTCAGTACCGTTCGTTTTAAATGCCATCGCGTTATCCACTTAGCTACTGAGTTCAAATAGGACTAAACGCGCATCTAAGATTCTACTGCTGGCCACTATCCATCTGTGCTTAGAATGTTTGTGACTTCAGGCAATATCAAGGCAATCTGCACAGTATGCACATATAGCAATAAGAGACTGATCAATTGCAGTCCTAAATATCAATGGGAAGATTCAAGTAAACAATGCTAAGTGAATATAAATACATTGACAATTAGAGTTTGGAATGAAATCCTCAGAGAAAGAATTATGCTTTCATCAAATGTAACATACAGAAACTAATTACCAGAGAATGCCTGATATCTCACATATATTGAACACTGAGAAACTGATGAACTACAAATTCACAGATATTTTCCCTATCTCTTACATTATGAGTAATGGAGAAGATTTGCAGTACAAGAGGGTGGTTTTGGTTCAGTTTCATTCTATTAGAACGGTGACTATCGATGAGATTATATCATTTTCGTGCTAGTTAGCAACCATCAGCAGCAAGGCATATGAACAATCTTCGGAGAAGCGATGCGATCAGTAAGGGTTTCCAAGACATAACACTCAAGATCACAGTAAGAGACGTTAAAAGTGAGTTATATATGTCGCGACTGAACTATCTCCATTAGGATTGGGATATACTCACTGATTCGCACTCATCTCAACGTCTTCACAGTTGAATCTCAGATGTTGGAATTATTCTCAGGAGAGTAAAGTGATAGTATAAGATAAAAAGCCATGCGCAGAATGGCTGCATAAACTGGTGGTATGAATTTCATTATGAAGTAATACAAAGAATATCATATCTAGAAAAAACATTCCACTAAAATAAAAGATCACAATGAAAACAAAATAAAATATTACACTGAATAAACATTATATTGAATTTAAAATGGAAGTAGTGTTTAACAAAGATCATGATGAGTTAAAAAAGAGGTTTAGCCTTTTATCCCATAGATCATCTTCCTCTACTGAAAATGGTTCCGACATCTGAGATTCACCTGAAGAAGTTGAAATGACTGCAAATCAGTAAATATCTCAATCCTAAAATTACATTGACCGATCGTTACATACATATAATTGAATTCATGAGTCGATTGAAGCTAGACCATCACGGAAAACCTGGAAGCATTGGACGGACGTTTCATACAAGTATGGGACTCTTCAGCAGTGCGCATCTACGATCCCACCTCACAAGATTCGAACCCAGGACCCATCAGTATCGTGCGTGAACACTTGAGCTATAAGACCACTGAGCCAGCGCATCCAAAGATGTTAATATCTAACTTCAACCACTCCACAATCGTCCAATGTTTCCAGGTTATCCATAGTGGTCTAACTTCAATTGACTCATGAATTGAATTTTCATAAAACCCCTCTCGGATTATATATAAAGTTCAAAATTTTCTTTTATCTCTTATCTTACTAGGTACATCGTTTAATTATTGTTGATGAGAATAACAAAGTTGAAGGAATTATCTCATTGTCAGATATATTGAAATTTCTTACAAATTGGTCAACTGATGATAATCATCATCATCCAAATCACCATAATACATCAAAACGAAGAACTGATCTTGTTCGAATTAAGAAATTCATTACAAATCCATTGCGTAATTCATATCATCAATAAATAAAACTAGTTTCTATGCATCATTCTTTCTCTTCCTCTCTCTCTCTCTCGCTCTTTCTCCGTATTCCCCTTTTTTTTCTTCATGAAATGTTATCAGATTGATCAATCAATTTAACAATGAATGATTAGAATGAACATACCGATAACAATCACTTGGAACTAATTGACAGTTTTATAGGTTAATAATTAAAATAATCAACTCATTGTCTTGTTGTTTTGTTACATTACTGTTATTGCTGCCACTAATAATAACATCGTTTTCATTATTATTATTATTACTATTCGACTTATTGTACTACTAATCATTTCTCTCATTTGCCTACAAACATAATCACCTATTCTTTAAAGATCCCTATTCTTTAATTTAAAATTTGCCATTAGTTTTCTACTATTCAATTATTATTTTTTCATTATACAATTAATGATGAAAACAATCTTATCAATAGAGATCATTATTTTTTTTCAACTCCACTAATCACTATGTTCTCCTCTTCCTCCTACCTCCTACTACTCCACTTCCTCCTACCTCCTCCTACTACTAATCCACTCCTCCTCCTCAATCCCATAGATACCATTCAATTTGCATAAATTACAATTTTATTCCTTATCTCTTTAGTTGTGTACATAAATAATTACTTTATATTATGTTTTTTATTATGTATGTGAATATAGTTTCATTTAGATATTTATTAAATGATAATTATTTTATATTTCTCTCTATAGATCTTATTCTATTCTTTGATTAGAAACAGAAACAAGAACTTATTTGTGTGTGTGTGTGTGCCTGTGTCTGTATCTGTGCCTAATTTTCCGTACACATTGTTTGTGATATAACAGAATCTGTGTGTGTATCTATGCCCCCTTTTTTAAAAAATTAATTTTATTGATACATTAAATAAGAACTTTTGTCTAAATTTGATTGAATAGTTTCACAATATTTAAGCGCCGAATTAATGTGAAACATTAAAGAGGAAGAATATTGTATTTGTAGAATCTCAAAGAATGAATTTTTGAAGTAAATCCAACATTTTACCTGGCAATCTGGTTGTTAGCGGGACATAGACTGGATTAAAGCATGGTCAATGCACGTTGCTTTAGTGCATACTGATTGGTTAATTCTTTCCTGTTCAACCGTGTTCTAATTTGGGGACTTGCCGAGTGATTCGGTGTCCAAGAGTACTAAGCAATAGGAATAGCTGGGTTATAACCGTAAGAGAGAATTATAATACCGGTCCAAGGTTTTTCAAAGAAAATATAATCAAACATGAAAATTATCGAATATAAATAGGTATATGATTCTCCGGTTTACTGTATACTTAATAAGTCATTCAATCAACGTGAACAAGGTTTAAAGTAGGTATTTACATTAGTGTGTAAGAGACATGCTTATTTATTTATTTTAACACATAGATATTGTTACAAAGAGGCACCAAATACATATGCGCCACACAGATCTTACTGATATGTGTAAGGGCTATGATACTGCAGGTGGTTTTGTTAGGGGGCCACACTCGGAGCCTTCGACATGAAGGTCCGGCCCACAAGGTAGTGGAGCATTGTAAGGAGATGCAGTCCCATGATAGCCGGTGACCAACGATTGGTTCATACTCCATTTATTTCCTCAGGATAATGTAGCCCATGTGCACCATTGGTTTGGAATGAGGGTATTCCAACTCCCCTAGGTGGACTCTCCGTATCCACCAACCCGGTTAAAGCGCCGGACGTTCGCTTTTCGTCCTCTCAATTTCGTAAACAACACCCGTGGTGCGAGAACGTAGTGAGTAGGACTTTCGTGTCAGGGGCTGTATACGCGTGGCCATGTGAGAGCATTTTTCGAGGGAGAGCGGACTCTCCCCACTCTCGAGCGTACCAGGGCATTTGGGGGCAAGAGACATGTAGTGTAAAAACGAAAAGTGTTAAGAAAACAGATTGTGTGTATACGTGATCACACAATCGGTTATCTTAACACTTATCTTACAAATACAATCCTCCTCTTTAATGACTGATACATTGATTATAATGATATAATGTCAAGTAATTGGAAGGAGATTCATCATTATTATATTGCATCATTTGTTAGTGTGTTAGTAAAGAAACTTACAAATTTATGTGGTTCTTAGGTGAACTTAATATCATTGATTGAATAGATTAAAGTTATCACCACGTATGAATAATCAATGTTGTATAGTACGTGCTTACTTAGTTATCAATGCAATTACTTACTTATAACTATTCACAAATGTCATAAAATCGAATTTAAATAATCAGCATTATCCTTAATGGTCAAAATGATTTAAAAGATCATTTTTTATTAGACTATTAGCTAAAAAGTTGACTACCGTCATCATTATATCCAACCATACAACTGATACTTACTTAGGGCGCCGATCAGGATTTTCTACAACCCACTCGGTCCTGGGCTTTCCTTTACAGTTCAATTTAATTGTTGTTCACTCTTCTCATGTCTGTCTCCATTTCTCGACGTAATGTGTTCTTTGATTTTCTTCTATGGCCCTGAGGATTTCAAGTGAAGGCTTGTCTTGTAACGCAGTTGGGTGCTTTGCTCAGTGTGTGTCCTATCCACTTCCAGGGTTCCTTCCTCTGCTGGGATCTGGTTTGTTCTCTACCATAGTAGATTGTCAGAAGGGGCATCAGCCTCGTGGCTTCAGAAGGAACTCGGCTTTTACCATGAGGTGTCATAACTCTTCTAAATGAAAACCTTCTGACTCCCAGGGCACATTATAAGTGTTTTGAATAGTTTTTTCCGGTTAGTTTTTTTTAGCGAGTTAGTATTCACGCGATGGGATCGCTAACCCCATGCCCAATCCTCCCCCATTATCCGGGCTTGGGACCGGCAGTAGTCGTGGAGGGGCTTCAGGTGGAGTTATACAACTGATGAAATGTTAATTTCCATATTTTTAATATGAACATCAAAAAACCAGAGCTGTGTGGCTAAAAGTACCAGTTATTATTGAAAATTGTAATGTACATGATAATATGAATGAAATATGGAACTATAACCATTTATAAATCTCAATAAGCACATAACTATGTACATCAGTTTACTTGGGAATTAAAGCTTTAGTTATAGTTAGATTTTGTTTGGGGTTTAAAAATTAGTACATTTTGTAACATAGTCAACGTTCCCAAGTAAAAATTTACATGATTCAACGTCAGTCAGTTCACTGTTTACATTCTTATTGCAATAGTTTATATATCACATTAATCAATATCTAGCAGTTCAGCTACAACAACCTAGTAAACATGTTGACATTCAAACAATCATTTCTTATAAGCAAAGATGGATGGTGATTAGCAATGAAATGTAGGATACGTGTTTCATCCTATTTGGGACTCGTCGGTTGGATATACCTGCATCTCAAAGTTGATGTTCACTTCAGGACTCGAACCGACTATCGTTTACTTCAAACGTTAGCACGTTATCCACTCAGCAGCTAGTGAGTCCTCATAGCCAACTGTTTGTGAAATAAGATGAAGTATAAATTCACTCAGTGTTTTTTGCTTATATCTTTACATTGATGTTTAGGACTACAGTTGATCAGTCTCATATTGGCATATATGAATCCTGTGCAATTCACTTTAATATTGTATTAGATCATAAGCATTATTAAGCAGAGAGATCAATGAAGGCTTACAGTGAAATCCATCACCATTCATTTTTGCTTATAAAGCCTGTGACATTTAAGGCAATATCAAGACAATCTGAACAGTATGTACATATAACAACAATAGACTATAAATATCAATGGGAAGATAAAAAGTAAACAACATCGAGTGATTCATTTCTTCATATTCAACACATTTGCATCCATAAAGTTTGTGTTCTCACCTAATGGTTATTTTACAGATTTTAAGAACAATCATTATAAATAAATAGAATATCTCTTGTCAATAATAGAGGAAGTTTTTCTTTGTGAATTATTATATGGGAAATATTTAATAGGCAATATAGATTTTGTATATAACAGCATGTATAGAGCTTACCATTAAGGTGACATGATCTTATCCAAGATTCTGCAATTTGATTGGTTAATAAATGTTAATGAACCATTACATCGTAAATATGATTAACCAATCAGTTTTTAATAAGTTCTATTCATGATGCTGATTGGTTTATAATCTCTTTGTTCAATATGAATAGGGTTAATTTGTAGTTCGATTCGAGAAACCGAGATTGGAAAACACTTGCTTGATCATAACCTAATAAAATTAAGATAATGGGGAACTTGAAGTTCATTCTAAAAAAGAAATTCAATTCAATATAAAACTTGATAATTTAATAATATCAATAGTTGAAATCATGAGTCAATCGAAGCTAGACCACTACGGAAAGTCTAGAAACATTGGACGGCCGATTCGTCTTAATATGGGATTAGTTGAAGTTAGACATTAACACCATTGGATGCTGGCCAGCTCAGTGGTCTAGTGGTTAAGCGCTCGCGTGTGAAACTGATAGCTCCTGGGTTGGAAACTCGAAAAGAACAGGATTGTGAGTGTGTGCTGCTGAGGAGTCCCACACCAGGACGAAACGACCGTCTCATGCTCCCAGATTTTTCATAGTGGTCTAGCTTCAATTGACTCATGATTTCAACTATTGAAATTACTAAAATCCCCACAAAACCCTTCCTGATAGTAATTTTAATAGTTAAGATCATGAGTCAATTGAAACTAGATTACTATGGAAAACCTGTAAGAACTGGATGGCCGTTTCATCCTGTTGTAGGACTCCTTAACAGTGCACATCCATGATCTCATCTCGCGTGATTTGATTGATTCCTAATCTCAACTATTAAAATTGCCATCATATCCATAAAGAAACCCCTTGTGAATTTAATATAATGTTATTTTGTGTTTGTTAAAATTACAACTGGTTAACCTTTTAATGTTTCATGATAATATCTGGAGCTAAATCTCTTAAGTATTAAGAATTTCTATTATACTTAGCAATGTAGAATGTCGTTGTTATTAATGAACACTGACTAAAAGGGAACCTGAAATAAACACAAAGTCTTAACCGTCACATTTATTTTAAAGTTTTAGGCAAAGAAAAAACAAAGTGCTTCCAGGTTTCCCATGGTAGTCTAGCTTTAATTGACTCATGAATTCAACTATAAAATTGCTATAATATCCACAAAAACCCCTTTCTGATAATAACCATCATGCGCTCACTAGTGACTGGTTTCAAGAGGTAATTCCTGAAATTCTAGTGATAAGCCGTGACTCGTGGAGTTCAACCGGGCGTGTTATGAGATAGTAGCTTACGGAAGACAATGGTGGACGGTGGCACAATTTCGTGGATTGTTTAAATTTAGACATTAACACCGTTGGATGCCGCCTCAGTGGTCATGAAGGTGACTAATAAAAAAATTAAGCCCCAGTCTTCTGAACTTTATTGAAGCCAATGCTATCAAGTGTGAAAAACATGAATTGTGCTTAAAAGTAGACAAATGTTTATCTTTCTGATGATAGAAACTCTGCTTTGTTACATCATTTATTTCTTACTTTTAGATGATTATATTGTTCTATTTTTTCGATGCTCTTCTAGACTAATAACTTTGTAATAACTAACTGAACTCATTCATTAGCGTCAGGTCATCTTGTGACCACTTGTTTCTAGATCTTTTCCTCAATGTTACCATCAATATTGTAGAATGTCCGTCCATATAAGACATATATTTGCCCTCATACAAATCAAATGATTAAATGTGGTGCATATATATTTAGTTCCCCCTTGTACCAATGTTTATTTGTTTAAATAAATAAATATTATTTAATCCCTTAAATTTATTTACATAGTTTCCCCCAAATGCCCTGGTACGGCCGAGGGCAGGGAGAGACAGCTCTCCTTCTTAAAATGCTCCCACATGGCCATGTGTATACAGCTACTGTCAGGGAATCCCTACTCACTGCCTTCTCGCGGCATTATCATTGTTTACGAAATTGAGGAG